TGGTTACCTACTTAACAGAGACTTCAGAAATGACTGACAATAATCCACAAAGTTTTAGTATATACTATTTTGATTCAAGAGGCTGCAGGCAAAACACATAGCAAATGACGACTAATATTTTTAATTAAAAGCCAAGAGTATTGAGAGAACAAATCTAACAGCTATTTCCATGAATTTTTTCCTCCAGTGTTGATCTTCTGTTTGACAATAGCTCGTGTGCAAAGAGCAGAACTTTCCATTCAAAAAAAACCACACACTTGTGAAAGCCTTCTTAGAAAAAGTGATTTTTTTTTCAAAGTAAAAAGGAAGCTTTGGCCTAAGTATGCATAGGCCAAAAAAAAAAAAAGATCAAAAAGAAAGGAAGGTTAAACAATCTTTCCTAATTGTATAATAGCAGGAAAACACATTAATCATGAGGTCCTCGCCATGTTCAAGATCCCAATTTGGCAGCTGGTGGAAGGGAAAAGGATACGTTGAGGAACCTCTACTTGCTTAATCCTTGCAGAATTGGGTCAAGAAGATTTTTCCAGCCAGCAAGACCATTCCTCATTCAGGGAAGTTCTTCAGGGTCTCTGCAGTATCAGCCAAGCTTTAGAGCGTCCTGGGAACACCTACAGGCATCGTGCCTGAACGCTGGCAGTGCCTCGGAATCCCATGGCATGAAACAATGCTACTGGTAGCACACAAGCAAAGACAGCCCGCAGACTCTTCCAGCCGGGACCTAACAAACTCACCCTGTTTTCAGTACTTTTAATATGTTAAAGGCATATAAGTGAAAGAAACTGGAGGCAGAATAGTTAGCCCTGGGAAATAAGCCACCTCAAGAGAGGAAAGCAAAAAATCTTCAAGAAGTTCCTCAAGGTGGCTGCTAGAAGCAAAATAGCTCTCAGCACACCATGCACGAGGTATACTGAAGCCAAGTTCACACCACACTGTGCGGATAATGCCACCTTAGCACCTACAAAAACAAAAGACAACCTAATATGGAGGTGGACATCCCTGTTCACAGCTACTGGGGCAAAGGCATTATCCCCTTAGACTAGGCGAGGCTTATTTGGAAAAGAAGCTAGGTAAAGCTTCTAGGTAAAGCTCTGCAGTGCCCCATCCTTCATGTCTACAGCACAGTCTGTTCTTTGGCACACAGTTGGCCCGGGGAGTCATTACATAAGGCTGGATAAACGCTGCGTCGTGTGCCTATCTCCAGCTCCACAGTCGGAGAATTGAAACAGCAGCTCTCTTCCAGAGCTGTGGGACTAACAGAAGCAACATTCACAGACCAGATTAAAATCCTGTTCCCTTCCAAGTATATGGAGCATAAATTTGTAAGTCAGGTTATGTTAACTGCTCAAATTCTCAGGAAAAATAAACCCCAGAGACACCCTCCCCCACCCCCAGAAGGGATTTTTTTTGTTTGCTCTTTAAAAAGCTAGGAAGCTCCTGAAGCCAAGCTGGCATTTAAGGCAAGAATATTTCCAAGTACACACACCTCTTCCAAGGAGGCTCTGGTTTCTCCTACATGCTGCACCCCTCTCCTAGATCCTGCTTTGTGTCTCAGACTCAGCACTCCGGAACACAGAGTCCCCAAACACGCAAGACCAGTGGGTTTCCGCCGCTCCAGTCAGCGATCCCCTTCAGTACCACAGCTCAAACAAAACCCCAGAGCTCTCTGAGCTAACAAAGAGAAAATAAAGCAGAGAAGACGAGACGTCAGAAAGACGCCACAACGTCTGAGCAAGCCTCTTTGGCACTGCAGACGATACACACAAGTTTTCAGGCTTGCTCCTAATCAAAATCTAGGCTTAGGCCATCCTTATCTTCAGCCTACAAAGAATATGACAGAGAGCTAAGGTCTTACCAACCCAGGAGGTCTTCTCAAGCCCTACAGCTCTATAAAATGCATAATCGAGAATCAAAGCTGACTGCAAGCCTGTGCTTTGCAACCGAAACAGGCTCAGAGAATGCAGTTTGTTGCTGCAGGTAGCTAAGCCATGACAACGACTTCTGAAATTCATGCATTGTTTCAGAAACATCACGGACCTGCTTTTTATTAAGACTTTCTGACAGGGTGGCCTGACCTTGAGCTGCTGAGGTTCCCACCCAATTCCTGCCACTTCCCCTCTGTACTTTTTTCAAATAAAGCTCATCTAATTCTCTGGAATTCAATCTACAGCACTGTGAATGGGCTTTACAGCCTCAAATAGAGCTTCCAAAGAGGCAGAAAAAATATGCAGAAACCCACACAGATAAGCAGTAACATGGAAAAGAGAGAGAGAACATTCAAACTTCAGCATGATATTTGTGGCATATCTCCACAACAATTGGGTTATTTTCCCCTAAAAATATTAGGGGAACCTTTGATCAACCAAAGTGGAGATGCACTGATTTAGAGAGCCACACTCACGCTTCCTCTCCTGCCCATCAGTGAGCGCTTGCCTGTTTTCTTCTTTTTCAGACAGACGGCATAACCCTTAACTGCAAGGTTAGGCTAAGAACCTGCCTGTGACCACCACCCACATAGCACACAAATGATGTAACTGATCATCGGCAAGAACACGAGATATGTTCAGTCATGGTCTCACAAACAGAAACGTCTTCTCTCCAACCTTAAAAGTCTTAGACTTGCAAGTCACAGATTTATAAGAAGGGAAGTGTACAAGATTCAGGCAGAAGCATGAATTACTGTTTTTGTCCTTTTGGCTACAAGCTTAGAATATCTTTCCCACTTGCAAAAACTGCTGCATTTCTACAGCGCAAAGACTCATCTTGTCTGAGCTCTATCTGCAGTAACAGCTTCTGGCTACTAGGAATCCAGGTAGGAACTTTACTAGATCCTGTGACTTGGGGTACATTAAATCTCACGTTAATCTGCTCAAGCCACCAGCTCTCTGGCACAGCCTGCTTTCCCTGGTCATCAGCTGCACTGTGACACAACCCACAAACCCCAAAGTTCACTGAGGAATGTGGCACGGCATGCTGCTGCAGCCCACAGCATGTCTACAGGCAGATGCAGCAAGACCAGAGGAAGAAGTTAACACTTAGATCCAGCCCCAGTGTACTTTTGAAAGCCCTGCATATTCCTCACCCCTAATGGCAGCAGTGCCGAGAGACTCTGAGCAGCACTGGGGCCTCATGCACATGCCATGCCATGCTATGCTATGCACCCACAAGAAGTGGTTTATTTTGAGAGCATTCATAGCTGCAGATAAGGTAGAGGATGACGTTAGGGTCTGCGAGGTGGGTTTCCTCTCTTTAGATAAGCAGAATAGACCACTTGGTAACAGGTGGGGCTGTGCTGGAATTACGCAGCACAGCACAGCCTTACCCATCCCTGCTATACCTTTTATTTTCTGATCTGTTTCTTATGATGTCAAGACCCCCCCACCGCCAAGAAAATGGAAAACCTAAAGCAGAAGCTAAACTAGTTTAATATTTTTTCCCCAGAAATGGCAGACACAAATCATAGCCAGCAAAACCTCTGAATACAAACACTCAGTTATAAGAAACATCCTGCCCTGCTGCTCCTTTAACATAAGGCCAGTAGCCTGTCCCCTCCCAATCCTAACTGCTTGACCAGAAGTGCAAGTGATACCTTGTCACAAGGAAAACCTCACTAGACAGCTAGTTTAAACAGAGGCTTGATGTGCTGCTCCGATACCTGGCATCGGAAAGCCGGAACTGACAGGGAAAAGGACATCCCCCCACACACCCCAGCCCAAACTATTGCCTCCACTGGTAACACCTACAGGGACAAAAGCAAGTTTTAGCTCCTTACAAACAGGACGACAAATTCCCAGGAACACAGGGCAGAACGTGGACCTCTTAGAAAATTCAGCAGTGTGGCCTACACAGGTCAGCTGAGTTTTCAAACTTCTGTTCAGACCCACCTTTAAATATCAGGCACTGCCATCGCAGCGAGCAAGTCTAGATCAGCTGCCGTATAGAAAACGTGACATGAGAAGACCTAAGAGCTTTTTGCCTTCAGTTGGAAAGCATTTGGATGCAAGGGATTTCTTTATACTGGTGAATAATCCTATCCTTAGAACAGAACAGCAAGGATCCTTTTCACTAAGAAGTGTTTCCTGTTTTCTGCTGCGAGGAAGCCCACACAAGCTGTGAAGCCCGAGAAGTTGGCTAGTCACCAAGCCGACTGATTAGTGAGAAAACACACACGCAGAGATCGCTCAGCAACTCAACTTATGGCTCACTTTTACCTTTCGCTCTTTTTGAAGTTCGCTCTGTGTTGCCTCCAGCTGTCTCTGCAATCTTTTGGGATGTCTTTCCAAAATTCCAGATTCATCAGTAGGTTTTATTAATAAAGCATTGTCTCTGCAAATTACAGGGAATCTAGTTCTTTTGAGCGTGCTCTTGAAATTCCAGTGTCTGTCTTTCTCACTCTAGAGCACCAAATGAAATAAGAGATATAGAAATCAGGCAGGAGCAGTTTCTAAGCCAGTTTGGCAGGACTGTTTTAGACTAGTTATGCACTGAAATTTAAGGAGGATTCTGCTACTTCTCTGCAGACATTAATTTACATGAAAGGTTCTTTAACAGCTTTAGAGCAAGAACTGTATCCTTCATTGCAAACCTGCACAGACTACTCAACAGCAGGCTGTGATCTCTAAACAGTGATCCAAGTACATTCGTTCAAGGAGGAATCAAGCAGCTACAAGCTGTAAGAGCAGCCACACGTGCTGCACTGTCAACTGCACTGCTCCAGAGAACAGAGGGACTCCTTGCAGGCACAGGGAGACTCTTGAGAGAAGACCAGGGTTTGTAATGCAGCGATAAAAAGGTCTTTCTTGTCAACAGAGCAGAAACAAAGTTTTCAAATAAACATGTCCTAAAAATATCCATGGTAGCCCACTGAAAGCCCAGTATAGAAAGCAACACCCCGTAAAACTGCTGGTATAATTCTAACTGTTTGTTCCACATGTGTGGAGAGAAGACAAACTCATCACCTGTGCGCAGATGCTAAAAAGTTCGAAAAGTACTTGATTTACCTTCCTTGGCAGAATTCCTCCCTAAGCAGCAAAGAGATAGGACTGGGTTTGGTTTACTCTTTTCAGGGAGTTGCTCCCCGTGGCCCATCTTTTTCCCTTTCCTCCTTTTACAGTCTAAAATGTCATTCTTCACCGGCCAAGAGCCGCTGCTACAGAAGAGTCATGAGGTCAAACAGGACAGATCTAGTCACAGGAGAAAAAAAAGAAAAAAGTGAGCATGGTAAAAACTGATATGGGAGGCTGTGCCCTGCCCTTCACTCACACTCTACAAACCTAGATGAAAACATCTTTCTTTTTTCACACAAGAACCCAGGCCTTCAGCCACATACAAGAGACTGATCCCCTCCGTCAAGAAACCTGCATTTCCTGAAGATCCTTCACAATATGCTAAGCAGCTGAATAACCTGTACAGAAAAGATCGAGTACCTGCAACCTGAGCCAGATGTGCCTGATGTTCCTCTTGGGAAAAAGCATCTGAACAGAGGACAATCACCACGTCTGAGACCATTCCCTACCTTGTCTTCCAAGCACCTAAGAAAATTACTCTTTAAAAAAAAAAAAAAAAAGCTATAGAGCCCCCACCCACATTTTGAGAGTCTTTGCTCATTTCAGCATTCCTGACCGGCTAAATACAAACAAGCCTGCTGATCTAACATCAGTTGCCTCCCTGTGGCACTTTGCTTCGGAAATTCCAGACCTTAGCCAAAACTCTGTTTGCCTCAAATCCACATTTTGTTTGGCTGACAGAAGTTTTCAGCAAGATTGCTGCATTGCAAGAATGCACCATTTGCAGGAAAATAAATATTTGCCCAGTAGGTAAAGTCTCGGCTTTTAAGTTATGCAATCTTGCTAAAAATAGTTTCCCTGAATGCCACCTTAATACCTTCTGACACAGATCCAAGGTTTTTTTTTTTTTTTTTTTGCAACTCCTATGCTTGCTCTAGCGTTGCAAAAATTGGCAGCACAGACATCTGAATCTGAAATACTGTTTTAGTTTTATGTGCTGTTCTAGGCAACAAGGATAAAATCATAGCTCAGAAACACCACTGGACATTATTACAGCACTAAAGCAGGCACAATGACACCTGGCCCTTGGAAGCCACTACAAACAACATTTACTATTAGAACAAAAGAGCTCATCTGATGCTGTTGTGCCGTTTTCTCATAACACAGTTTTACATTTAACACTACAAACCATATCAAAGAAAGGCTAGGGACTTCCTATAAGGCGAGATACCCATCAAGCTTGGGTGCCTAAAGTTGTGAAGAGTAACATTTATTTGCACATCTCTGGAAAAAGAGCAGAACACCTTGCAGGGCTGCATGCTATTCAGTACACAGCTTGCATTATAAAACCTTGTTGTGAACTAAAGCCTTATTTCACGTAATTACTGACTTCCCTTTACTTCCTACCCTTCCTCAAATGCCTCAAACACACACACAAGCTTTGTGATGTGCTCTGAAGGTCAGTCACAGGACTCCAAGAGCTTGAAAGCAGTAACTGTTCTCGCATTCTTTAGTTATGAATTATATATGCTTTAATTTTTACAACTAATCCACACATGAGATTCCCTACTTCTCTGCTCCTCACCCAAGAGGGCCCCAGAGCCTCAGGCTTCTTGTGCACAGGGACCAGAACAGCCTTAATCCTCACTATATTGCAGTAGTACCCAGAGGCTGAAAATAATTTGTCATCAGAGCAGCTTTCAGCCCAATTAAAAGCTTTCTTCTAAAACCTACTAGAAGAGCAATTGGCGGTGAAGTCTCAGTATTTATGATGCTGTATAATCAGGTAGAACTGCTGTCTGCTCAAGCCACAGTAGTTTTTTTTCACTCTAACTTCTCAGCAAGCCAACCCCTGTGAGCAGGTCTGAAATCACTCAGGCTCCAGCAGCCTGGAACACACGTACAGAGAGGGCAGGAAACGTTACAAGCTCAAGACAACTTGGAGCTCGATTCTCAGTCGAGCTGCCAGAGACAGGTTTAAACGGCGCTCATCTCAACTCCTAAACCTGCGGGACGCAGCCCCGGCGGCGAGCACCGCGGAGGCTGCGGGGCGCGTGCAGGGGCAGCACAAAGACCCACGCAGCGCTCCAGGCGACGGATCCCCCTTTCCTCAGCGCCTCTTTCCGTCTCCATCCCTTACCCCCGCGGCCGTGGGAGGGTTTGGTGCCCTTTCCCGAATCAATGCCTATTTTCGGCAAACTCCTTCACCCCCAGCTTCATCTCTGGCCCTTCAGCAGGTCCTTCCCCACCAGGCCCAGTTTTCACCTCGCGCGAGAGCCGGGCTCCTGGCGATGCCGCCTTGGCTCCGGC